TATATATATATATATACATCTAGCTTAATTTGTTTATTGATTAGCCATGGGAAGGAATTAGTGACTGATGATTGATTTTAGTCAAAATACCCAATTTGAAATAGTCCCTTGCATTTTTAAAAATTCAAAACTCCTCCGTCTACTTTTTTCTCCCATCCATTTCTCTGTTTCCTGGAAATTAAAAATATATCGATGGTGCAAAAACAAAGTGAACAAGAAAATTAAAATAACAGATAAAAATATAAAAATACTGAATAGATTAGAAATGAGAGAAAGGTACTGCACTCTTAGAGAGTGATAAGCCAAGTGAGGAATCCCCACATTGGACTCTTAATCAAATTGGACAACTAGGACCAATTTAAGTACTCCTTCTGGATTAAGCTTGAGTGAGAATAAGTTGTTCACTTCTTGATCCAAGGCTTCCTTAGCCATCTTATCTCTTGATCTTGTCAAGGGTCTCCCAAGTCCTTGTAATGTTTCTTCAAGCTTTGCTCCACTTGGGCCTCCAAGGTCTCCATAAACCAGGTAGGCACAATTTTAGGGTTACCTCTATCAGGCTCTATATACCATGTCCAAAGAGAGGAAACAAAGGCATGGGATACTGAAAACCATGTCTCAACTATACAATTGTTATCTCCCTTGGCAAGTGTACCAAATCGTATAAGTAGTTCAATGAAAGTATGAGTATCTTCTCCCAAGGGACTTGCACAACACTTTACAAATTTACTTGTTATACTAACTAAGCTATTAAAAAGGCAATAAATATTTGATTTGTTGTAGTAACTAATGTAAGAAAACAATGTGAATGTTATAAGAATTCTTTTTGGTATTTTCGTAAACATTTAGGGTGCAAAACTTTATTCTAAAACAATATTAATAAATGTTGGGGTTTGACTTCACTAAACCTTCCTCTCATGTTTATCAATGAGCTCACAATAGTCATCATTCAGAATTTATCAATCACTCTCAAAAATAACCAACTCTAATTCCTTACAAGTTGGCATCTAAGTTGCTAGATTAACCTATCAATCCCTTGCATAGTTTAATCAAGAAACCAACTTTAAAAACCAGAGCTTAAGAAAGACTAATGGCATTTATTATGTTCCTAGCAATAAGCACCATTAGCTGCTCTATTTTCATTCAAAGGTTTAAAATCATTTTCCAATCTCTTAAAAACCTCAAGTTCAAGTTAAGGGTAATCAAACCATAACAAGCATTATGCACAAGAAACAGAGCAATAAAACTAAATAACAATTAAGATTGATCACTTAGAGTTTATACATGAGAATGGGTGTAGTTACATCAAACTCCACAAGGGTGAGTTTAGCTACACATAGACATGTAGAACTCTACAAAATGATGAAGAAAGGAAGAAGCTTGATCTTGAAGGCTCCAGAGCTCTCCAACCGTCACACAGACTCCAAGAAAGGTTCTCCTCCTCTATCCTCGAAATTCCCCCTTTTAGGTCATAAAAGTTTTTGTCTTATCTGAGTAATGACATGTCAGCACAATTCACACTAAGCGTGAAATGCCATGCTAAGCGTGAGGGATTGATCTGGAAGGGAGTGACTTTCTGGAACATTGATGTTAAAGGGATTCAAGTTTGTTCAACTTGAGGATTGAAGTTTGTTCCTTGAATCTCTGCCAAGCTAAGGCTAAGTGTGGATCTGAGGCTTAGCGTGGAGACTTAGCCAAAAATTCTTTCTGCTTTGAACTCGCCACTTTATCATTTGCTTCCTTCCTTCATTCCTAGATTTCTCCTAAACTACAAAATAGCAATCAAATACTTGTAAGTTGCCTAAAAACATGATTCAAAGACAAAATGTGATCACTTATCAATTTAGATATGTTTTGAGTTAAAAACAAGATCTCAAGCTATTGGAAATTGATATAAGTGCTCCAAATTGGGCCATAAACTTAATGAAAATATAGCACTTTTATATTGGTGGGATGTAATAAATAAATACAAATAAATATAGGAAACTTTGTTCCTATAAACATGATATAATATGCCTATTAAATAAAATTGCACACTAATTACAAAGATCCTCATCTGATTTCCAAGAATACAGATCAATTACCTTTCTGTGTGTTCATCAGATCAGATCGAAATTGAGAAACTTTAACACTAGTTTTAGAGTTGAAAAATGATAAGAAACTTAGGAGAATCACACCACAAAAGTGAATTAATGTAGTTACACAGCCTAAGGTCTTATAAATCCTACACTGGAATCCCATACTCTAGTCCTTCAAGACTTTTCATCTCCAATTCAGCCTCCAAATGCTTTTGAAGTCTAGATATTTCTTCCTTGTTATCTCCAATTCAGCCTCCAAATGCTTTTGAAGTCTAGATATTTCTTCCTTGTTATACCGTATAATTATCTTATCATTGACATAATTATCAATGTTGTTACCTGTTTATTCTGATGTTTAAAAAATAAAGTGTGACCTGAGTGACTTTGCTTGTAGACAAATTTCTTCATTGCTAAGTTGAACTGTCCAAACCATGCATGGGCCAATTGCCTCAAACCATACAGGGCTTTTTGTAATTTACTCAGAAACTTGGTTTGTGAGGACATGGTGTACCCAGGTGGGATATCCATATAAACTAGATCATTATGGAGAAAGGCATTTTTCACATCAAATTGGAGTAGTAACCAATCCAAATTAGCTGATTGAGAATGAAGTGTCCTAACTAATTGTGTTTAGTTTAGCCACTGGATAGAAAGTCTCCCGACAGTCAATGCCATAAGTTTTTGTATACTCCTTTATTACAAGTCTTGCCTTGTATCTTTCAATAGATCTGTCTGCTTTATGTCGGATTGAAAAACCCATTTACATCCGCACTATTTTCTTCTCCCTTGGAAGCAGAATGAAGCTCCATGTCTTGTGTTATCCTGTAGTGCTTCCATTTCCTCTTTTATCGCTTGAACCCATTTAGGATCCTTTAAAGTTTCTTGAATATTACTAGAGATTCAGAGAACAACTGATTTACAAATGCCTTAAGTGGGTTTGATAATCTTTGAGAAGAAACATGGTTTGCAATTGGATATTTTACTTTTTCACCTCAAATTCTGGAGAGTACCGATCTAGGAGTTGTCCCTAATTATGTCTAAAAGGAAGTTTATAGGCCGCAGGAGTATTGATCATATACAGGGGAGTTAGAAGAGTTTAACCATAGTTACCAGGTTCACAACAGCTTAAACTATACTCCAATACATGTACAGTAAATAACATACGCGATGACTCTTGGCAAGAATGCAAGTGTCACATTTTAAATCTGGGTCATTTTAAGCTAGAAAATAAATCAGGTAAAAACTGCTTCAAGTAAATGAATGATGGATCCCCAACAAACGATGCCACAACAAAATCTCCTTATGCTCGACACCCAATGACTGTTGCATATGGTTGACTTGGCCCGTGCTAAAGTCATCAATATAGTACAGCCCCCCTTTTTAGTACCACGACCAATGATCTCCTTGGGGGAGAATATCCTGAACAAAGCTGAATTTATGATGTGAGTGCACAACAATCTAATTCTTTACTCGCCTGGCCAACAGACATCAATTTATTTGAAAAAGATGGAACAAATATGTGACAATGAAAGACTAGGTGAAAGAGCAACAATTCCAGCTCCTGCAAGTGGATATGCTCAAAGCTTGACGATGAGACATGGTAGGTGTCCGAGCCATGAGAGCATGTGGTAGCAATCATGTACCCATACATGTACCAAAGAGTATTGTGAACGTGGTAACTATGGTTATAATAACAGTCAAACTGTCAGTTCAGCAGTTTACTAACATAGTATATACAACTTGATACAATTATATATCTGACACGTGACCGTGTATTGTCTCAACAATCCTGGATTTTGGCTTTTGAAAAGTTGCAATAATTTGGATTTTTTCTTTTTCTTTTTCTCTTTTGGTTTTCAATTTCTCCTTATTTTGTTCTGCCGTGGCTGTAGCAAGAGAGGGGGAAACGGAGTGCCCATCGTATAAATCAACATATATGTTACATGTCTTGCATTTCAGTTATTTATACCACAGCCTATGGTATTAACCTGCTGTATCTGCCTGCATTAGGTGGGGCTATCTATCACGTGCTGGTTTGTGGGATAAAAGCCACTTGATGAGACAAATTGAGAAGTATGTTCTTTGTTCTAGACACCCCTCATCACTACTATACCTGACCATGCACTTTTTGAAAATGAACTGTTTAAATTTATTTCAATTGCAGGTATGCAGATATATATACTTCTAGGGTGTCAAATTTTTTACATTACACACCCTTTATGTATTTCCGCTCTCAGGAACAGGTATTCATATAATCTTCTTTTCCTTATCTCGTCTTCCAAATCCTTAAAGCATTAGGTTATTATTTGGGTTGTAAACTTGAGACATTTTTCTTTTTTGTTCTGCAGAACCTTGCACATGATTCATACACACACTATTGTTCACAAGTTGTCAAGTTTCCTTCCTATGGTAAATTGGACCAAAATAGAGAAATATAGGAAATAAATGTCTCTGGTTGACTTAAAACATGTATCATTTCAACCTTGTATAATGGTGTAGTGATGATATATACTATATTATATAAATGCATGATACCAAGTCTATGAAGGGCCGTAGATATCGTGTTTCACAAAGCTTTAGAAGTCCCCATGTCATTAAAAAGATGATTGGTGTTTTGGGTCAACAATAAGGATGGCGTAGTAAGGTACTTTCCCTGAACCAAGGGGTGTTTTAGTTTGCTATTGGTTTCAATGAGAGCAGAGGCCAAAGCAGAAAGAAATAAATGCAAGGGATAGTGTTTCCAACTGAATCAGAATGTCATGATTGACATGACATTGTTGGTGACTAATCAAATTTGTATGTTGTTACCCCGCTATTAGGTTCAAATGATTTATATTTCTACCATGATAACAAATCTTTATGCATTTCCTTGGCATATAATTTGATCATTTCAATAGTTTGGAAGCTTCAATAACAAAAAAAACAACGGCAATTGTTGGTCTTTGGTCCATGTTCTTCATTTCTCAACCAACTGTTATTCTTTGCTTTTGAATGGGACGTGATTTTTTTTAATATAATACTCTCTGTTCTCTATTATAAACAAAAAAAAAGATATATTTTTTATTTTTAAATATAAGCAAATTGTAATTACTTTTGTTTCTTTTAATGATATTTCTTATAAAATATTTTTTCTTTAATATATGACTTTTCAGTTATATTAATTTTTTTGTCATTTATAACAATAATTTGAGAAGAATATTATAGGAGTAAAATTTAATATAGATTATTAACTTTCTTAATATGCATGAAATCAATTTTCTTTTACTTATAATAGAGAGCAGAAAGAGTATCAAAGTGGAAGAAAAGTTACATGTATAGCGGAGTTGTAAAGTACCGCGAGTCAATTGCATTGATTCTTTCAACAAATGGAAGTTTAAAGCCAAATAGATAGAGAAAGAAAAGGCAAACTCCGAACACCTTGAGCTGATCTCAAATAAGTGCTGAAATTTACACCAACGACTAACGACAATCATGGAGTATGTGGATCTATCAATGCTATTGGATGGAAAATTTAAATAGATTAATTTATTTGTTTGAAGAATTTTAAATTTTTTAAAGTAAAATATTTTATTCAGATAAAATATTTATAAAGAATTTGAAATTCAAAAATGTAAAATAATAAAATTTAAAATTTCTCATATTTTTTTTTATTTCACTTATATATTTTATCTTATCTTTTATCTCTTCATGTTTTTAATTATTGAATATTTAAAAATATTTCTAAAATTAATAAATATTTAAAAATTAACTAATATTTATTTTTTATAAAATTTAACTTAAAAATATCAACATATAAATATATTTTTAAAATAAATTTTATCATGATAGAATCAATTGTTATATCTAAACTAACAATTTAAAATTTGAATTGACTTATTCAAACAAATATTTTAAAAATAATAAAAATTAAAATCAAAATAATTTAAATATCAAAAATTTCAAATTCTTTGAATGTGTAAAATTCTCCATCTAAAAAACACCAGGATGTGTAGAAATCAATTAAGTTGAATTTAATTAGGATTAAAAAATTACATTAATAATTTCTTTTTCTTTGCATTGGAGCACGTGGTTTTTTTATTGAATGCAGTTTTAAACTGGTATTTAACCATAAATTTACCTATTTGGATCATGATTGTCTTTCTTGGAGATGATGTGTGTGTACCAAAATTAAATAAATAAATAACACCAACTAAAGAGAAAAGGAAAAAGTGAATTGCTTCCAACCAATTCTTTCTCAACTTTCTTTGTGTTTTGAAAAACTCAATATGACCGCTTTGACTGATTACATTTTAAACTAGACCTTTGGCTGATTGAGTCATATTCGTCTATATTTTTTTTTGAGTTGGTTACTGGAGTATCCACCGCTGATAGTAGTGACTAATTTTCTCGCTACGTTGGAGGCACCTCAAAGAGTGAGATAACTGGCATCAAGATTGCTTAAGTGTGGATAGCAGTGACTAATCATATTCGTCTATATGATTGTTTGTTCCTACAATCATATCAATTTTTTATTTTCAAGTTTGTATTTTTTAACATTTTAGTAAAATAAAATTAAGAATAGAGATTTTCCTTGCATTCCTCTAGTTTTTTTTTTTTTTCCTGAAATTCCTGTGACAGTTGAGAACACCTTTAGCGAGTATATTGAGCTGAATAAGTAATATTTCTTTTGATATAAAAAATTAAGATTAGGATAAAGTACGATTTCATGTAAGATCATATTCAATTACTAATTTCTTTACAGATTTCTAGTGAGATTACAGTTTCATTCTCCACAAAATGAATTTTAAAACAATATTTTACTTAATCAACCGGATATTATTTTGATTGAAAGGTTTTATAGAAATTATAAGTGTACAATTAATTTAAATTAAAAATTAAAAAAATTGAAATATAATTTTAACTTAATATAGGAAATATTCAATGACAAGGATACATAAAAGTACACCAGTTGTTCATATGACATCGATTTATACCCAATTCCTTGGTATGTGTGAAATCTCTATTCCAACACAAATAATTAATACTTAATATATTGTTTGCGGAAGTCATACAAACGAGATTATAAGAGCATATGCAATAGAATTGCTTATAAGCAACCCTCATTGCAGATGCTCTAAAAAAGTTAATCATTCATATACTGTCAGTGTAAAGTTTTTTACACTGGCAACTAATCATATCTTTTAAAATTGTTTATTTTATTATTATTTCATTAAATAAGTAACTGACATGACATTATTAAAAAATATAATTGGTTGCCCGTGTAAAAAAAAATTTACACGGTATAGGTGATTAACTCATTATAAAATAACTAATCCCTGACTAGAAACTATACAAACTGTCAAGCAAAGTTGGGACTAAAAAATGTGGATGAAAAATTGATGGTACATATTTTGTGGAGAAACATAACCAAATATTACATATAAAAAACAACTTAGAGTTGTTATGTCAAAGAAATGTTTCAGAAATTCAATTACTTCAAATTGTTCTAGCAAACGATGTTGACTTACAATAAAAAGAAGTCATTTGATTTTATGAGTAAAGGAGTAGGAGGTAGACTTGGGATATATTCGGTTTGAAAATCAAAACTAAAGAATTCATATTTTAATATTTTACAACAAATGTCTAAACTCTATGCTCCCACTATTTTTTTTTTTGTTTATTCCAACTTCAGTATGGGTTGTTTGAAACATACATTATGAAGAGCATGACCAAACAAACTTTATCAATTGATCATGTTATTCTCATGTTAAGAGATTTGGGAGACTCAGAAAGTGGGGAGTATCCTTTGATTTAGATAATAAATAAATTAATTTCTTACTTTTGTCATAAGTTTGAGAGCTTTGACATTCTATGTATAACTTGTTTTGAGTATACCATGGGAATCTTTTCAAGCTACAGGTTGTCTTTTTCTTTTTCTTTTTTTTATTTTTCTTTCGAGAGATTTATGGTATAAAATGGTAACTGGCCAATTAGTATTTTGAAAAGTGTACTGCAATATCCTTAATTAATATTTTGATTAGAGATGTGAATGGAGGATACTGATAGTAGCTTTCTATATTAAAGTTTAAAGTTTAAAAAGTAATCATTAAAATAAAATAACTATATCTATGCGAATATAAGTGGGTACTTGTATATTTTTTCAATTTCTATGGATATATATCCATGAGTAGCCACTAGTATTTACTAAAAAAATATTTATCAAAATATTTTAATCATACGTTTTAGTTATTTGTAACAGTTTTTTTTTTCATTTAAAAGTTTGTATAATTTAAAAAAAATTATAACTAAAATTTAAATAAAATCTACACACAAAAAAAAGATTGAAAGTTATAAAATTAAAATGCAAATATTCTTCATTATTATACTAAAGTTTAAACATTTAATCATATAAGTTTAAAATTTTTGTAAAAAAAAATATAAGTTTAAAGTTCAAATAGTGATTATTAAAATAAAATATTTTGATTACACATCAATCAAAATAAAAGATAAAGCACAATACTTAATTATTATAAATCTAAAACAAAGTTTAAATAAAATCAAAATCATACAACTTCAAATAAATTAAATATTAGTGAATACAAATATCCATGACTAAAAATACTATGGTATCCATACCATCTTTATTAACACTAATGGGGTCGAGGTACTTCGTGCCTCTATTAAAAATAAAATAAAAATAAATAATAAATAATAAAAATATATTGATCTAATTGGTATTATGATTAATTTATTAATTTCAAGTTCTTAAATTTGATTAAAAAATATTTTTTCTAATTTTTTAAAATAAAATAGTATAATGGTAAAATAAATGGAGACCAAGATAGTTACCAAAAAGAATATCTCTTTATATATTAGTATAGATATATATCCCTTACTCACATATATTCATTTACAATATCAATTTTTTATCTGTTATGAATTTTATCAACTGATATTCCCACAAACCAAATTTTTTCACATCCCTAATTTTGACTAGTGTAGTTGGATCCTAAGAGCAACTCCAATAGGATTTGCTTGTCCCATAAAACAACTCAAGTTCCGGTTTCTTGTCATTGGAGGACTCTTACGTGACAACATGAGTTGCTTGAAGAAGAGAGAGAGTTGCTTCCTCAAACAATCGTTCCTTACCAGATTTCAAATGGCATATTTGGAAACGTTTCAGAAATAATAATGATGAAAATTAATTTCGCATAATATTTATATATTTACTATTACTTTATTTTATTTTTAATATCTATTTTTTCTCGTAATTTATTTTCTTTCATTGTAGTACAATTATAATTTTTAATAAAAATTTAAATTTGATTCATAAATGATTAGAAAAAAAATTTTAAAAGTTAAATTTCTTAAAGTTTTTTATCATTAGAATAAATTTGTTTTTGAGTAGTTTAATGCTGACATGACATACTGTTACTGAGGACTACTTTTTTTATTTTTCAATGCATGAAGCAACTCAAATGAGTTGCTTCCATTGGAGATGTCCTAAACACCTCACGAGGTTCTGTTTACTACATGAACTACAAAAACGACATGATTTTAACTGCCACTGTTAGCATTGAGTTGATGGGTAAATGACTCTTGGATTCACCTACCATTCTCAAGCACCTATTTTTTCTCCCTCAACAATAATAGTAAAGATGTTACATTTGTCGGGGAGAAAGAGTATTAGGCTTGCTCAAATTAATTTTTTGGGTCAATAATTATCTTTTAGGTTTAGTTTTCTAATTTTAATCCCAATCTTCATATACATATGATAAATATTTTATATTATCACAATATTATTTTTAAATATAGATAATTCATTTTTAAAATATTAAAATTTATTTTATAAACAAATATAATATATAAAAATTGAATTAGATAAGATAGTGTGAATTATTTGTTATTACTATTTTA